CCTTCCTTCCTTCCTTCCTTCCTTCCTTCCTTCCTTCCTCCCTCCCTCCCTCCCTCCCTCCCTCCCTCCCTCCCCTCCTCCTCCTCCTCTCTGGCCTTCCTCACCACTAACCAGAATTCACCCAAAAATAAAAAAATAAACCTTGCTTTCTCAGCCTGTGCTAAAAGGCCTCTGGGATCAGAAAGACTCTCGTGTATTTTGATTCTGCTTTTATAGCAGGTTTGCCCGCGGGTGCCTCTGGGCACATACAGAGTACTTTCTTTCTTTCTGTGTAAACCTTCCCGCCTCCCCCCCCCAAGATCTTTTGAAACTTTGCAGGGGGAGGGAAGGGGTTGGCGGGGGGGGGTTGGCTGGATTCCTCCTTGCAAACCGGGGTTCCTTCCCTCCCGGATCAAAGGTAGAACCAGCTGCGAAGTTGCTTTGTCTAGAAATTCTGGCTAGCAAAACAAAGAGATGCCCAGGGCTTCGGCTTACTCAAAATGCTGAATCGGCAAAAAACAAAAAAACCCCAGTCTCTTCTCCAGCCTTGCAAAGCAGGGTGCAAATTCTCCAAATTCTCTTTTATTTCTGCTGGCTTTTTTTGGCCGCGCCAAAAGACCGAGACCCCCAAAAGCCCATCGCCCTCAGCCAGTCAAGGCGAGGTTCTTTATCCCTGCAATATTTTTGGAAATCTTATCTTCTCCAGTGTGGGGAAGGAAAGAAAAAACAAAAAATTCCCCCTTTGCAAAAATCTCTCTGTCTAGGAGTTTGTGTGTGTGTTATGTGTGTGAATCACCCTTTATATTCTAAATAAATCGTATTCACGCATAAATCCCACGGTGGCTTATTTTATTAGGGCGGGTGCCACCCAGCAGATCAAAAAAGAGATTTTTTTATTATTATTATTATTATTATGGCAGACTCTTTCGGTGGTCCCAGGGGATTGTATGTGGAGCCTCTGTGCCCAGACGTAGTCTATCTGAGCGACGATGGGGAAATCCAAGCTGTTTTTAAATTGCAATAGTCTGGGTTGGTGGTTTTTTTTTAGGAGGTGAGTTGCAAAGCACAATACATCCATACATACTTCCCCCCACCAAAAAAATAATCCCCCAGGGCAGGTGACTCTCTCTCTCTCTAAATTTGGAAACGCTTTAGCTACACTGACGCACAATCCTGGTTTGCACAGACAAACAGACCCTCACACATGTTTGGACGTGCTCGAAATAAGTCAGAGGGTCCCGTCTGCAGATGAAATCCGTCCCTTGTTTCAACTGGCTGCAACCAGGACAGGCTGCAAAGGCAGAGCTGAGGTTTGAGAGCGAGCATCCCAAGCGTGACTAAAAGATCATCTAGTCCAGCCCCGCTTCAGTCCTGGGTTCAATGCAGGAATCTTTTCTGCTCTTTCCGAAGCTTCTCTAAACAGCTCTTCCCATCTTCCTAGAAATCTTGTCTCCTCTTAATTCTCTCTCTCTCTTTCTCTCTCTCCCTCTCTTTCTCCCCATCTCTTTCTCTGTCTCTTTCTCCATCTCTTTCTTTCTCTCCTCTCTCCATCTCTTTCTTTCTCTCTTTCTCCATCTCTTTCTTTCTCCATCTCTCTTTCTTTCTCTTTCTTTCTCCATTTCTCTTTCTTTCTCCATTTCTCTTTCTTTCTCTCTTTCTCTTTCTCCTTCTCTCTCTTTCTCCGTCTCTCTTTCTCTCCTCTCTCTCTCTTTCTCCATCTCTCTTTCTCTCTCTCCATCTCTTTCTTTCTTTCTCTCTTTCTCCTCTCTCTTTCTCTCTCCATCTCTTTCTTTCTCCATCTCTCTTTCGTTCTCTTTCTCCATTTCTCTTTCTCTCTCTCTTTCTCCTTCTCTCTCTCTCTCTCTCTTTCTCTCTCTCTTTCTCCTTCTCTCTCTTTCTCCGTCTCTCTTTCTCTCTCTTTCTCCATCTCTTTCTCTCCTCTCTCTTTCTCCATCTCTCTTTCTCTCTCTCCATCTCTTTCTTTTTCTTTCTCTTTCTTTCTCCATCTCTTTCTTTTTCCATCTCTCTTTCTTTCTCTTTCTCTCTTTCTCCTCTCTCTTTCTCTCTCCATCTCTCTCTCTCTCTCTTTCTCTATCTCTTTCTCCTTCTCTCTCTTTCTCCGTCTCTCCTTCTCTCTCTTTCTCCACCTCTTTCTCCCTCCCTCCCTCTCTCTCCCCCCGCAATGTTATCTGGAACCCTGAGGGTTTTTCCTCTTCTCCTTAAGAGGGGTGCCAAAAGGAGGATGACCAGCCATTTCGAATTTATCACTCTCCATGTCCCTGATTTGCCTTCTTAGTTTTTTGGTCCCCTCCAGCGAGAGGATCTGAATTCAAAGCTGACGGCTCCCCCCCCCCCCCCTTTTTTTTTTAATCAGGTTTTTTTTTGCAGGGGAGTGGGGTGTTTGGCCGCAGGGACAAGACAATAGAGAAATATTCTGAAATGGGGAGGTTGTTGGCTTGCTTGATCCCCAGGGCTGATTACTTGGGAAAAAAATATTTTCTGTCTTTTTGTGGCTCTTGCTTAATTTACTCCTGCCAGAGCAGGTACGGCCAGCTGTGTATATCAGGGATATTTGCAGAGGGGAGGGAAGGGAGGAAAGAAAGGAAGGAGGGAAGGGAGGGAGGGAAATGAA